TTTTTTGCTTTTGTCATTACGGTTGGTCTTGGGCAATTATAATGCTAATGTTCTATTCATGTAGCTCATTGAAGCTGGTTATTTGACAAGCTCATAATGTGGAATATCTATGAAACATTCTGTGTTTGGCATGAGTAATTGCTTAAACAAATTGCGCAGCAACAAATATTGTTTTCATTGTAATGAATAATATACAATGCGTGTAAATTATGATTTTCTGTTGAATTTTTTTAAAAAGGAATACAGGATTTTTTTATTATATGTACAAATTTAAAATCCATTCGCAAAACATTGGAATGAGTAAAAAATAAGATCCCGCTTTAAGATCATGAGCCAATTGAAAAAGAAAAGACAAGTCAGGTTAACATAAAAATGAATTTGCAAAAAATGTGTCCCGCCCCCGGGTGGACTCGAACCACCAACCTTTCGGTTAACAGCCGAACGCGCTAACCGATTGCGCCACGGAGGCTGCTGTCTGCCTCATGAATTGTAACCAAATTTAGCCCAGCACGAATTACAGTAGCTAAAAAATATTCTTATAAGAAGTTGTGCTATGCAACAGCATAGTGAGATTGGACAGGCATCACACAGTGGCCTCCGTGGCGCAATCGGTTAGCGCGTTCGGCTGTTAACCGAAAGGTTGGTGGTTCGAGTCCACCCGGGGGCGGATATAATCTTTTTTCTTTTTTCGCTAAAAATACTATTATAATTTTAGCCGCAATACTTTTATTATTTCTATTAACAAATCTTGTGTTACTGGCAAAACTAATTTGAAGTAATTATATAAAACTGTTTATTATATTCTTGTACTTGACTTCTATGATCATGTTAATGTGCATTACTGACTTATTTTGTGTCATTATTTATTTTATTGTTATGTTTGGTTAGATGAACAAGGGCATTTATATATATTTTATTTTCTCGAATCTATTCAGACAAAAAGCATACTAAAAACAATGCGTGTGTTACGTTAAGCTGAAGGTGCCGATGAACAAAGCAAAATAAACACAGTACAAATACAAACACAAATACAATTATGCCTACCAATTTTTAACAAACCTACGTTGAGCAAATGTATGTATGTATGTATGTACATAAGTAGCATATAATAACAGCTTTAGTCTAATTTTGCCTTACGTCTTTCACCTTCGCTAGAGTACAGCATGCACGCAATCGAGGCATAGATGAGGTTACCTTATAATGCGTTTACTTCAATTAATTGATCTTGAGCTGTAGTTGTAGAACAATAACTAATACCTATTCACTTATTTAGAGAACTATATATCAATAACAGCTGTATTTTTCATTTAATTTACAGATGACGTGCGGCATTTCGTGTGTCGATAAGACACTAAACAAATCATTTTATCACCTGGGCATTTGCATAGCCAAACATCCGGGCTATTTCGTCATCATACCCGTGATGATAACGTTGCTCTGTATGACCGGGTGAGTTACGATAATATGTTTTATACAGTTTATGATTTTTAATAATAATGATATTATGCAGCTATCAGCAGTTAAAGTACCAAATCGATCCCGAATATCTATTTTCGCCCATTAATGGCGAGGGTAAGGCCGAGCGTGCGCTTGTTGAGCAATACTTCAAAGTGAATTATACGCATCGCTTCAATGTAGGACGCATTACCAGGCCGGGTAAGTTCCAACGACAACAGCAAGCAACGACATTCAAAGTTTGTCTGTATGCATAGGGTGAGGCTTAAATGGTTTGCTATAATAGCAAAACATTGGGCAAGTGAAATGGCTCGACGACACCAATTTAGTCATCCAATTAAAAATTGCAACACTTTTTGCACCGCGCTTATGCTTCATCTCAGTTCCCCGAAAAAGCTGTGTTGCAAATCTATGTTTGACTCAGACAACATTCAGTTTCTAAAATTAAAGTTCAAGTCTACAAAATCATCGGGCAGATGAAATGTGTGGCCAACATTTGAATAGGGTCTTGAACCGCGGCAGAGTTTCTACACGCTATTAACTACACTAAATGGCTTATTAACCAAAGCCAACAACAACAATCACAACTAAGGCTGGCAAACGATGTAAAATTGCCAAATGACATTGTGCCACAAATAAGGGAAAAAAACACTGAGCGACTTGAGTCTGTAGCAGTTATACATACGTAAACACAATAAGCTTCAGGTAGTTACCAAATCAATCAGACCATTCAACTTTTATAACAATTCCAGCATCAACTATAATTAATCAATTTCAGTCGCATGATTGACTACAAGAATGTATATGTATATGTATATATTTATTTCAATAAAGACAAATTAAAGCAAAAAATATACTTCCCATACCGGGAATCGAACCCGGGCCTTCTGGGTGAAAGCCAGATATCCTAGCCACTAGACCATATGGGAGACCTGATATCTAGTGGCACAGTAAATAACGTTTATATTTACGGGACTTAAACTAAAGGGTATAAATAGATTCCAAGAACTATTTTCAACTACAGACTAAACATGTGTTAGCTAGGACAACTGCTATTTACGTTTTTAGCGAATAATAGCCCTACACATCTATTTAAAGATTTGTGTATAACAAATGAACCGTAAATACCTATAGCGTGCCTGTGCCAAACCCACGCCCCGTCACAAAGACGTAGGAGCGCAAAGGAGGTCAATAATAAGTGTAGTAAGAGTGTTCAATTTGGTAAAAGTTGCTTTGCAAAAAAAAGTAATGTGCAAAAAATGTTGCACAAATTGTAAAACGTGTGCATTATGCGAAATCTCAAATCCATTTAAAGAAAACAAAAACTGTAAAAGTCATAAAAAATCATCAAAAATAATGAGTATACAGCCAAACGTTGAGACTCCACAATATATATTACACGAAAATAGAGAAAGAGTCAGAGCGTGAGTGAGCGAAATGTATGATACGAAACGAGATTAAGAAACGCTTCTTGCGAAATCTGTTGGCCGCATTCTACAAAGCACTGCAGTCAATGACAACGAGATCTTAACTATTCAATGCTTATAAGAGTACTTTTGTATTTCTAGATCTCGACTTAACCACTTAATCAAGCGTTCATTTAACATGTGCGTGTATGAGTAGCATCATTGAACTTTGGTTTTAACAGTCGCAAATGCTAGGAGAAGATGCAGAACAAGTCTTGTGAGTTGCAGCAGAAAAAGCAGCAGCAGCAACACCAGCACCTGGTTGTTGGCAACAACTGTTTCATTTGAGCTAACTGTTTATAGACATTATCTAGACCGCATTTACTTGGTTTCGACCAGTTAGCTACGCTTCGCTTAACTTGCACTTTTGGTCGTAGCTGTGTCTGTGTATTCCCGCTGCAACGGAGGCAATTTCAAATGCCTGAAACTCAAATGGAGTTGCATGTTAGCAAATAAATTGTGTTGCAGTGCAACCAACTTTCGCCCGTCTGTCTTAAGAAATTAAGTATATTATTTTTATGTAGCGCAACAAAGCGATGCATTATATATTTATATTTTTTAATGTAGTGTTTTGACGAAAAGTTATATAAATTGATTGGTGCTATGAACATTGTCATGCATAGAAAATAATAAATAACACAGCAGTGCAGCTGACAAAGCTGAACATTACAAACTGAACTGCTTGCACTGCTTTATAGTAATTCATTTGTCATTTGGGTGGATGAGACTGACACCTCCCATATTGTCTAGTGGTTAGGATATCCGGCTCTCACCCGGAAGGCCCGGGTTCAATTCCCGGTATGGGAAATCATCGATCAAACACTGAGTTGATGAGTTTGATATTTTTTTTATTTTTTTTATTTTGACAAATTATCATCTGCAGAAAATATTACCACAAAGTAAAACTAGTAAATTTTTGGTAAACTAGATTACACATACGTTTAACAGGTTCTAAAATCGCTCAGTAAATAACAAATATTTAATACCTATCCATTAAGTAAATTTTAGAGAATAATAAATACTTAACTAGTGATTTCATATGATATAAACTTTCATATTATATATATATATATATCAAAATTTGCATTTGCGTATTTAAATGTATCTCTGTGTACTTACTCGGCATAAGCCCTTTTTAATTTCAGAGTGTTTTCTATGGTTCGTATTCGATAAAAATCAATGTACACCTATTAAATTGATAAGCAACTGATTAAAAACTGCTAGACATGCAATTTGCAAAGTACCTTATCAACAGCTGGCATTAGAGTATAAATACAAAAATTATCTCTGTCTCAATTTCAGTGTGTCCATTTGTATATATTATAAAGCCACGAGCAAAGTTTGTTTATGTCAAAATGTGTATTAGAATTTTTACAAGTTCATTGACAAAATATTCGCGAATGGAACGTGTTGAGTGTCACGTTCCATCCAGATGCTAGGCAACCAGCATTAAATATACAGATACATTTAGATTTGTATAGATAAATATAAAGATATACATATATACATTTATAAAGTAAATACAAGTAAAGTAAAAATTTCTTTCAAATAAAAATAGAAAATTAAGATATATATCTATGGATCTTAAAGATTAATTATTGGTGAAAGATATTTTTATATATCTACGCACACACGTAGATATTTATTTGCATATATAGCGGGTCTGTGACTGTGATTGTTGCATTTGTTATGACGCATTAAACACAAAACGATTTGCACAATACTCTAACAATGTGGAAGTGAATTATACGAGCGCAAATAACTAATAAAAAGATCTTTGAAAATGAAACTGATTTGAATTATTGTCACGTCGCCAGATACAAAAAGAAGGCGCTGGCACTGAGGAAGGCTTAGGCAGTTCACACTGGTACAAAATAGGGTCAAACTATGATTAAATTTATGTTTGATTATACGAAGCGCGAGTAGCATATGTCATCTCTTTTGATGAGCGAATCAAATCTTTAAAGATTCCTTATATGAATTAATCAGGTCATTCATTTCGTTAAAGTTTTACTGTAGATGATGTATTCTATATAAGATATTTCTTAATTTATTTTGAAAAATATACTATTAGAAATCAATCTTATAAATAAAAATATAAATAAAACCTTAAGCTTCAAGTGAAGATAATAAATGTAGATAAAAAGATAGAAGAACTAGAAAAATGTACTAAATATGTACATGGTTTTATAAATCGGTTTTGTGGAGCCATATGTCAATTAACTTAAGTACGAATAAAATTTCGAAATCCCATTTTAGACAACTTTAGTTGATATATATTAATATTTATCTTTGTCATTTGCAGGTCGTTTTGGCCGCGTTATAGTTATACCAAAAGATGGCGACGATAATATGTTGCGAAGAGAGGTTTTTATGGAGCTACGACAGCTTGACAATCTCATACAGAATGCGTCAACGACATATGATGGCGACACATTTACCTACAAGGATATTTGTGCTCGCTGGGAAAACGAGTGTTTCGAGAATGATATCTTAAACCTGGATGCTCTGATGGATGATGTGAGTGCGACCTCGTTTCTAGATAAACACAACTGAGTTCTTTCTCTCCACAGATCGAGTCGGGTCAATTGAATTTAACATTTCCCATCATGTTTAATCCTGTGACATGGGATGCTCACGCCTTTCCAGTATTCTTTGGTGGCACTAAATTAACCGAGGATAATTATATAATAAGCGTGCCAGCTATTCAATTAGTTTACTTTGTCACTGCTGATACAAAACGTCAGGATGCAAAGTAAGAAAGAAAATCAAGTCAAGTCAATAATATAACATCTTTAAATTGAATTCACACATTTTAGGGGCGGTGAATGGGAAGAAACATTTTTGAGAGTCGTGGGCAAGGCTGAAAAATCAGGCATGTTCAAGCATATTTCGGTTTCCTATTTCGCTTCGCGCACTCTGGATCATGAATTGGAAAAGAATACCAAGACGGTAGTGCCTTACTTTAGCTCTACATTTCTTCTCATGGGTTTGTTTAGGTAAGTACTTTTATATTTAAGACTAATATATGCGACATTTTGAATGTTTTTATCGATTTACTTCAGCATTATTACTTGCATGATGGGTGATGCGGTACGCTCGAAACCTTTTCTCGGTCTGATGGGAAATATCTCAGCCATAATGGCCACTTTGGCTGCTTTTGGCTTGGCCATGTACTGCGGCATCGAGTTCATTGGAATTAATTTAGCAGCACCTTTTTTAATGATTGGTAAGTTCTTGAACATATTCAAAATTTGGCATTTACCTGAATTTATTTATTGGATTATAGGTATTGGCATCGATGATACGTTTGTCATGTTGGCTGGCTGGCGACGTACTCCGGCCAAGATGCCCGTCCATGAGCGTATGGCGCATATGATGTCCGAGGCAGCCGTTTCGATAACGATTACATCAGTCACAGACTTTATTTCATTCCTGATTGGCATCATTAGCCCTTTTCGCTCGGTTAAGATCTTTTGCACCTACTCAGTGTTTGCCGTCTGCTTCACATTCATATGGCACATCACTTTCTTTGCCGCCTGCATGGCGATATCTGGGTACAGGGAACGTAGGAATCTGCATGCTATCTTTGGTTGTAAAGTGAAGCCCATGTCGGTGGCTATAAAAGGTAAGAGGAGATATCTAGAAATTATACATTGGTTTCATATATACGTGGTTTCAACAATATTTAACTACCTTTTTCGCTATACTTGTTCAATCGAATAGCTACTCCAATTTAATAAAGAATTCCTTAATATATAATGTTTATCCTTTTGTAATACTTGAGACATTAGTTTCAGAAATTTCAAGTAAATCAGATTCCAAGTTATACAGACAGTTCCAATGAGTCAGCACATCATTGTTCTTGATCTTTTACCCAGTCTACAATTAAGTTCTGTAGTTTGCGATCAAATGATGACAAAACTTGGTTGGCTATAACAAGGCCCACTTGTTGGCATAGCTAGAGCCGAACAACCGGCTCAGTGCCAAGCTTAGAGAGAATGAAATGAATTTAGCTCACCATCGACCAGCTGAGACATGAACTTGATCATGAGACTTAAAGCAAACTAGTCTTGGCTAAGAAGAACGTCGATAGCAATCCGTGGAATTGAGGTCAATGGCAACTGGACTAAAGCTACTTTTATCTAATATTATAGAGAAACGCAACTTCCTCTACAAAGCAATCATGGCTGGCGGTATCGATCCCAATGATCCAGATAATCCCGTCGACAACAAGGACCACATGTTCATGGCCTTTTTCAAGGACAAACTGGCTGCGATCATCAACAACAAATGGTGCAAGATAATTATTATTATCGCCTTCGCCAGCTATCTGGCTGGAGCTTGTTATGGGGTCACACAAATCAAAGAGGGACTGGAGAGACGTAAATTGTCACGGGAGGACTCCTATTCTGTGGAGTTTTTCGATCGTGAAGATGATTACTATCGGGAGTTTCCTTACAGAATGCAGGTAAGCTTTTCGTCAACATTTTACACGCTCAAAATCGCTAATCCAATCAATTCCTTTACAGGTTATCATTGCGGGTCCTCTAAATTACTCAGATCCCGAAATACAAGAACAAATTGAGAATTTGACAAGCACTTTAGAGCACACCTCATATGTAACCTCTTCATTATATACTGAATCATGGCTGCGCTCGTTTCTCTCGTTCATGGAACGCAATAGTGACTATCTAAATGAAACTATCGATGACGAACAATCGTTTATTGATGCAGTCAAGGACCACTGGTTGTTCCCTGGCAATCCATTCTCACTGGATGTGCGTCTAAACCAGGATGAGACACAGATCATTGCCTCGAGATTCCTTATACAGGCTGTCAATATTACGGATACGAATCATGAAAAGGAAATGGTGCGAGATTTGCGGAAAATATGTAAGGACTCACCGTTGAATGCGTCCATCTTTCATCCATACTTTGTGTTCTTCGATCAATTCGAGCTGGTTCGCCCCGTTTCACTGCAGGCCATGGTCATTGGTGCAATCATTATGATGATCATCTCATTCATCTTCATTCCCAATATCCTCTGCTCGTTATGGGTAGCCTTTTCCGTCATATCAATTGAGCTGGGCGTCGCTGGCTATATGGCCTTGTGGGATGTCAATCTGGATTCGATATCTATGATTAATCTAATCATGTGCATTGGCTTCTCTGTGGACTTCACCGCCCATATCTGCTATACCTACATGTCGTCAAAGAAACGCAGTCCCAAGGCGCGCGTACGTGAAGCTCTTCATTCGCTTGGACTACCCATAGTGCAGGGCTCCAGCTCGACGATCTTGGGCATTATAGCTCTATTACTAGCGCAGAGCTATATCTTTCTGGTATTTTTCAAAATGGTTTTCCTCGTCATTTTCTTTGGCGCTATGCATGGACTGTTCTTGCTGCCTGTGTTGCTATCGCTTTTCGGACCTGGCTCTTGGCTGACCTGGACGGGTCGCGACGATGGCTCCGAAGAGGAGGTGGATGACAGTGCGGATGATATGAAGCTTTCAAATGTGATGGAGAAACCCTTTGCGCAGTCCTACTACATGCAGTATCCCAGCATGGGGCTGAACGGACCTTATGCCTATGGGTCAAAGGGTTTTCTGGGTGCGCCTTATAAAGCCTACGGCGGGGATGAGAAGGATCAGGGCCTGGGCACATCCGGCGAAGACTCCTCGGAAAGCAGTTCCAGTCGCTCACAGCGACGCCAGCAGCTGGCAAATAATGCCGCTGCCGCTGAGAAAGGCTGGCGGCAGTCAAGCTATCAGAATATTTATGGCAGTGGCGCTGCCCAGTTCCAGCCACAGCCCGATCTCTATGGCCAGCAGGTGTCGGCGGCCGAGTGGCGACAGCGGCTCGATGCCCATGAGCAGCAGCATCAGCGGAACAAACAGCGACGCAATCCCTATGAGAACTACGACATGCAACGCCCAATTCGTCGCAATTCACATGGTGACGTCATCGATCTCCGCACGCCCACGCCCAACTCGTCGCTGGACGAACGAATGAGGCGTCAGTACCAGCAGGCACTTAGCGCTGGCAGCGGCGACGACAGCAGCTATCGGCAACAGTCCGAGCAGAGTCCAGTTCCACTGGCCAACAGTTCGGCGAAACGGTATCATCGCCGTCGCTCGTCGGAGGACTCGACGCGCTTCCATCAACGCTGGCCGGCTAACATCGTGGAGCGTCGTGCTAGGCGCGGCCATTCGCCTACTCAGCGACATTCGCAATCGCATTCGTATACAGAGACAGCCGCAGTTGCCGCCAACTTCGCCCATCGCTCCTCCTCGCATCACAATCTCTACCAGCAAAGCAGCAAGGTCACGCATCAACCGCCCACATATCAATATGGGGATTACTAACATTTCTTCATCTCAAGCAGGATGTCGAGTGCTTGAAATTGCTATTAGCGGACATATAATGAACAAACGTAGTTAAGCATAGTTTAAAAAATTTGCCTAGGCGACTCTTATAAATAATTTATATATTTACAGATAAATGCATCATGTTGACTTTCAATTAGTTTTCAGGTAGTAGCTGTGCTTATGCTATATTTCTCGCTTTCAGAGACTATGTTAAGCAGTTTATGTTTTTAAATATTTTCAGAACTCTCTTGGTAACATTAATTGAGGTTTCATATAAATATTATTGAATTTCTTTGAGCACATACAAAATCTTCAAAGTCTTTGAGCATTTCTTAATATTTCTTGATCATTTGAATTTGAATATTTGAATTTCTTTCAAATAATTTTTAAGACTTTCTCAAGACTTTACGGACATTGCAAATTACAAAAGAATAGCGGGCTTAAAGAATACCTTGAAGATTTTAAAGATTTTATGTCGTAATATTCTGTAAATATTTCTGGAATATTGTTAAGTAAATTGTTGAATTTTGGCCTATAAACTGCTTAGAGAGATCATATTCGAAAATTATCCTTGTTAACAATTAACAAGTACAAATCATTGTGATGTGCCTGAAAGAGAAGTAGAATTTGTAGTCAACTTACGTTTTCAAATAGATCTTTTGCCTGAACTCAACGAGCTGCGCATAGCATAAGCATAGTTATTACATGTATTGCCTTAATCTATAGCTTGCCCCGATAAAAAATTCTTCATTAATAATTAATAACATTTTTCAAATTATAAATCCAATTTTGGAAATAATTCATTTTTCTCTCTGCTTATATTTTCTTCCATTCTTAGCTTGTTGCTCATTTTAATTTATATAATTTTGACAAAAATTTAAAATTATTTTTACTGACGCAGTTCCGTCATGATTTTGTTGGAATATTGTTTGGAATATTTATATTAGTCCGATTCTCGACTAGACTTTTAAGGTATGCAACATGTGCATTTCATAGAACGAAAGTAATGCAAGTCATATATCGTAAGTCGTCACATTTTATAAATGCTTAACATTAAGTTTTTATTTCAGTCTGACTTCGGGTTTCCATAATCGAAATCTACTTTAACTAATTTTCCTATAGTTAAGTGAAGAGTTTGGAAGCATTTTTGTATAGAGCGTGCATCTAAAATAATATTAGCTATAAACAAAGTGAATAATTATATATTTATACACTTAGTCTAAGCACTAAATTCCAGACTACACAAAAACTGAAGTGAGCAATTCTTAAGGTTTAGTATGGGACACAACTTTGTTAAGTCTTAACACTTTTTGATATTCAATAAAATTTTTGTATTTTCCTAGAAACCAAGTACATGTGTTATTTATATATGTATATGTAGCTTAATTACTTTCTAAAAGACTTTTAATACGATTCTCATCATCATTATATAATATTTTATATGCGATTTCCTACATATTTACAATAAATAAATTCAAATCTAATAATTCTATTAGATTTTAGTTTCTTTGTTGTAATATATAAATATACATATACCTTACGACACTTTTAACAGTAAATGCAATGCGCTCTATGTTCGTGCTATACATGTGCTCTGTTGAATTTAAGGGATGATTTCTTTCGAAAACCAACCCCTATTTATAACAGTTTTGAATGTTATTGAAATTCCCAGCTGCTTGTTCTCACATAYCACATTTATAGCGAACTTTCAGTCAWCYGTMTYTCGCCAACGACCATACCACGTTGAATACATCGGTTCTCGTCCGATCACCGAAATTAAGCAACGTCGGGCGCGGTTAGTACTTAGATGGGGGACCGCTTGGGAACACCG